TTTTAAAAACACACAAAAAAAGACAAGGAACAAGGAGAAACATAAACAGAAATTTACACCTGAAAGATCTGTAGAATTTTAAATAGGTAGGATTTAGAACTCTAGACATCTGCATAAAAATACTGGATTCTGTCATCTGGACTGATGTTTCATAGTGGACAGCCATGCTGAATGCATAGAGATTCTGGCACCTCACAGGCTCTTTCTGGCTTGCCAAAAGGCAAGTGCGTTAAGAACGGTACGTGAGCAGAAGAAATCAGTAATAAAAGTTGTCCTAGTAATGAAGAAAACGATGAACATGGGAGTAACAGCGGATGTCTACAGGGCACCAATTACATATTAGACATTCTCATATATCATTTATATTTATATAAGTTAAGAGCATATAATTTACATTTATATAATATATTATTAATTTATATATAATTATATATTATTCTATATATCTATTTATTTAATTAATAAATTTATGTAGCATGTAAATATTGATTTCTGTGATACGTAAAACGTAATATGTTTATGTAATTAAGGGTATAAATTCTGGTGTCAAAATCTTTGGCTTCAAATTTATCTCCTCACTTTCTAACTGTGTAATGCATCCAGACCTTTTTCTTTCCCCCCATCAGTAAAATGGAGGTAATATTAGTACATTTCTCATTCTTTTAGTTATCCCTTCAGTGACTATTTATTGAGTAGATACTATATGTCCNCATTTCTCATTCTTTTAGTTATCCCTTCAGTGACTATTTATTGAGTAGATACTATATGTCCGTCACTCTGAAACACTGTCTTTGGCATTCTAAAAGGAAAATGTTGTGGCATTCTAAAACCTGTAAATGTATAAAGGATACATGCCATATACATACACAGAAAAGGAAATACATAGGGCATGTCATACGCGACAAGTGTTACAAGTAAAACACGGTGAGAATGGGGGTTGCAGTTCTGAACTGGTTGATGAGAGAGAGCCTCACTGAGACGTTTTCATTGGAGTAAAGATCTGGAAGAGGCAAACAGGCAAGACGTGGAAATAGCTGAGAGAGCGACATTCCAGGGAGAAGAAACGTGAAATGCAAATAGTCTGAGTCGTGGGGATGCTTGGCACGTTTGAGGCTGAATGAGAAGACCCAGTGTGATGGGGTGGAGTGAGCAAGTGGATCATCATAGGGGATGCAGTGAGAGAAACAACAGGGCCTGAATTCCTGCAGCCATGAGACCATATAAGCACTTGCACTAAGTGAAACCCAAAGTCCTTGGAGAACTTGAGCAAAAAAGTGGCCTGGGGCCGGCCCGGTGGCGCACTGCTACAGTGCACCGCTTGGGAGCACGGTGGCGCTCCTGCCGAGGGTTCGGATCCCACATACGGGGGGGGGCCCACTCACTGGGGGGGGGGGGTGCGGGGGCAACGGCGGGGGTTGCGATCCCATTGCTGGTCCCGGTCCGGTACGGGCGCGACACTGAGGGTTGCGATCCATTGCCGGACACGAAAAAAGACAAAAAAAAGGAAATTAAAAAAAAAAAAGAAGTGGCCTGATCTGGCTTAGCTTCTCAAGGGATCAAGATGGCAGCCACACTGAGATTAACTTATAAAGGAGAGCAATAAAAAGCAGAGAGACCAGCTACAAGTCT